AAAAAAAAAAAAAATCAGGTGGTTTGAAAGAATTTTGACTGAATAAAATAGTCTTGCTATGTTAGAAACAACATTTAAAAAGCACACTTATACTGCAAGGAATGACCATTTATTGTGCTACATTGTACCATAAGTTGATTTCTTATCATCACTGCAAAAGAAATGTTGACCAACTTTTTAAAAGCAATTGAGCATGTGGACAAGTTATTTATGCTCTTTGCATGCAATCTGAAGAAATGCAAGGTGCTTTCCATGACTTCCTTACTCCGAAAAAAAGGTTTGCTTCAGTCAATAGTAAATATCATAAAAATATTTAGCTGTGCATTCAGTTAAGGTGAAATACTTGTACTTTCTACCTTTCTTCTTTAGGAATAAAATAAATATTGTGGATTTTATAACCACTGTCCAAATCATTTACAAACACCTCAAGTAATAAAAAATATATTAAAAAAAAAATGTCAACTGCAAGATAGTACACTGAATTACAAATCAGATGAACATAAGAATGTATTTTTCAAATAATGTTTTAATTGGGGAATTAAGAGAGTTTTATTGTAATAGATGAGGTGAGAATCACTAAATAAAAATTTTCTGTCTATATTCACCTAACTTCCACAAGGAAAATGCTGTACTTACTCCGTTCAACAGTAATGATGGTGGCATTTCTGGTACAGGGGGTTTAGGTTTGGGAGGTACTGGGTACTGTAATGTAATTGGTAAACCATCTGACAAGTGACTATAATGTTCTATGACATGTTCCAAAGAGTCTAGATATGGTCCATCATCTATGAAAAAGTAAGTGTCCTAGAACAAAAGAGCAGATAACAAAAATAAAATTTGAATAACCAAAGCAGCTAGTCAGCTGTTCAAAATTCTTTATACAATTTTTGAGACTTACAATATTGCTCAAATTAATTAGAACACTGTAGAGACAGAAATACTTTATTGGTGGCACAGGTGAACACCGGAACATTAAAAGCAAATATGTTCGTTTTTAATCCAGGAGAATATGAACAGAATAATGACACTACAAAAAAGGGCTTTAGACACATTTTCAACTTGCAATCCAGACAATCGTGTAGAAACTACTATAAAAAAATAATATGAGTGTAATAGCATAGTACATTTACAGAATAATATTGCCAATGAAAAGAAACACCACTACACAGTTCACACAAAATGAAATGTGTCACTACAATACAGCAAAACTACCACAGGGCACATTTTTCTAAATCCTCGATAAATAAAGACCCATACAGAAAAGCAATAATATTGTATAATAAATTCCTAAACTATATGAAGAAAGAAAATGAAAACAAATTTACAAACCTGTTGAAAATCTAACTAACTGAAATTTGCCCTTACTGTTAAAGTGAATTTCAATGTGTGATATTATTTTACTAAATATAAATCCAAATGTATTTCGTATATTTGTAATTGAATTTTAAATTTTAAGTAATATGAATTTTATTTAATGGTATTTTCCCCGTGCAATTATGTGATTTTTATTATATGATACTCTAATACCTATTGTTACTATATAATTTCCTTTGTGTATTGTATATTTTAATAACTTAAATTATAATTACCAAAATACTATTGAAAAAAATTACTACAACTGTCTGAAACTTTTGTATTATATGTCTGTCAGCAATGAAAAAAAAAATATTATTATTTCTATTAATACATTTATTATTCAATATGTAGTAATATGTTGCAGAGTTCAAGTAGTCTGAAAATTGTGTGAAGAAGTAGCTTTTCAACTTAGTAGCGAAGTGAAAGAGTTGCATTTTATTAAAGTAAGTCCTTGTATATAACATATATAGTTATTAGGAACCAAAGAAAGCAAGAAGTGTTACAAAAAGTGCAAAATTACAAAATGTAGTGATATTCAAGATCCGCATACGCACAGTGGCAACCACACAGTTCCAGAACGAGTAACGAGGTGAAAACGTAATATTTCTCTCCAACTCTTTTGGAAAAAATAAATAGAAAAAGAAATAACAAGATTGAAAATGCCTGCAATATTCAGCTAAAAGTGTGATGGTGGCATGTAAAACAAAGTGTACTGCCATGGGTGCGATAAACACACTTCACCAGCTCAATTATTACTACTATTACTGTTACTACTACTACTACTACTATTATTATTATTATTATCATCATCATCATCACCATCACCATTATTATCATCATTACTATTATCATCATCACTCGGACATCATCCAGATAACTTTTATAGAGGTTATCTTCATTTTTCCATCATTAATCCTCACTTGAATGAGAGAGACTACCATTTTGGCTATGGTTGGTTGGTTGGTTCAATTGGTTCAGTTCCTTTTAATAAATACATGCAAACTGCCCAACAATTTTCTACTGGGCTTAAACATGGAGTCTTTCCAATTCATTCCAGTATCACTGTACTATCTTTGAAAAATGTTTTGCACGATGAGGTAAAGTAAAAGATCTTGTTGTAAAATTCATTCACCTACTGGACATTTCTCTAGTACTGTCAAATCGCAACCAACCCTGATGGAAATTCAATCCTTAGTCACCTCTGATTATCAACAATGGATTTGGTCTCCCCAAAAAATCGACAGAAGAAACATTCCAATCCAAATCAATATCAAATCTACATTTACAATTTTTGGAAGAGTTAATTAGAAGTATAGCATCTCGATTAGTCTCGATTAGATATAGAGTCTCGATTATTTACCTGAGTTTTAATTTGAAAATGATATGGCTGTTCTGCATGTATTGTTGTCAGAACATACATTCCACCATTACGATCACTATATCGAATCAAGAACGTTCCATCTCTATTACCATATTCCTTTAACAAAGCAATGGCCTCATTCCGATCCAGAGTACCATGATACCATTCTTTCTTGTGAGTTTTTGGTGGTGGACTTTTGTAATTTCGAAGCATTCGAGCACATTCAAGATGGCTGTTCCGCCTTGCCAAGTCAGCAGGTGTATCATTAGCCACAGTGCGAGGGTTAACAGGTGCATTCAAAGACAAAAGGACTTTGACCACCTCTTTGTGCCCTCTGCTCGCAGCTTCGTGTAAAGGAACCCAACCTGCAAAGAAATTATCACAGAAATTATCAACCTGCAATGACAAAGAGACTCCATTACAATGCCAATAAAAATTAAATGTTTAATTAAAAAATATACAACTGCAATACACACCACATAAAATGAATAGCATGCATTACCATATAATTTCCCATGGGTTGGAAAATACACAAAAAATTGACAAATTTTTTAATTGCAAATAAAATGTGTGCAATATTTTTTTGATGACATTCAGAATGTGTGTATATACAAATGACAAGTAAATAGATACATTTTTTAAAAATTGCAATCATACATATCGATGGTTAAATTTTAATACAACTTACCTAAAAATCAAACTATTTTGAGATACTAAAGTCACTCAAAAATAAGATGATCTTCTACCAAACTAACAAAATAATTAATTGCAAATTTGCTAAAATTACAGAATTTGGTCATATTTTAATTTTCTTGTAATACAAACTTTGCCATGTGTTTTTTCTCAATTGTGAAGTAGCAATTTTAAGATATTTGATGTTAAAATTTATCCATCAATATTGACATTATAACTCTTCTTGTGTTTTTCAAAAATTCAGAAAATACTGATATAGATCTTCCTTAATTTTTATCTTCTCAGCATGCAAAGTCCCAGCAAAAGTTGGTCAATTTCTTACCCGTTTCAGAATTTCGGGCCTGAATGTTGGCGTAGCCCACCTGAACCAAAACCCTCACTGTGTTTGGTAAGTTGCTCTGGCAAGCATACTACATCATATGCAACACAAACCAAAACATTTTTGAAACAAAGCATACACAATCATAAAACTGAAGTGCAAAGTAATCAATAATGGGAATCAGAAAGCAAAACCAACAGAACATGCAAACAAAAATAAACACACAAAGCAAAAACAAAATACTAGTCTACGTATAATTCATTCAATTTACAAAATGTACAGTTTATGAAAAGTTGGATGATGCAAGAGGGATTGTGCCACACAATACTATCATTTCAAGAAATAATTTTTACATTAAAAAATTAATTTTTGAGACACGCTATTTTTCTATACAAGTTATTACCATCATAAAATCCAATTTACAGTATTCAGAATGAAAATTTTCAAAATACCAGACCATTTTATACAGGTCAACCATTTTTCAGCCCTGTGAAACATACACCACATATTTACTGATTAATAAACTAAAAGGAAAAAAATATTTTGAATATTACTTATTTGTCATAAATTTTGAGAAAAAACTCAGAAAAAAAAAAGTTATAGGTTAATGTTTTGTAAGTATGTCAAGATGAACTTTCCCAGTTCTATCTACTAATTATAATCAAAATTGTAAAAACAATTTTTTTTTTAAACCTGAAGCAACCTATTCAAATGCATTCAGCAAATGCAAACAGGGAAATCTGACAACAAAACTAAGCCAACACAAGTAAAATGTCAAAATCTATGCAGAGGTACTGCAGAATAATATCTACTTCATCATTCTTGTTTTGATGTGTGTGTATTTTTTTTAGGTACTGCCAGAATAATTATCCTTACTTCATCATTCTTGTTTGAATGTGAGACTCTGAGATTCCATAAACTGTTTTTAAGTGGAAACGCACAGAGCTGTGTGTATTTTTTTTTTTAAATTTTTTTTTTTTTTTTTTTTTTTTTTT